CTATTCTATTCTATTCTATTCTATTCTATTCTATTCTATTCTATTCTATTCTATTCTATTCTATTCTATTCTATTCTATTCTATTCTATTCTATTCTATTCTATTCTATTCTATTCTATTCTATTCTATTCTATTCTATTCTATTCCATTCCATTCCATTCCATTCCATTCCATTCCATTCCATTCCATTTTATTTTATTTTATTTTATTTTATTTTATTTTATTTTATTCTATTCTATTCTATTCTATTCTATTCTATTCTATTCTATTCTATTCTATTCTATTCTAAACCATGAATTAAATATCAAAGTAATACAATACTTCTATTGGCTTCAAATCTGATGTAATGCACGACATGCATATTTTGTCATATAATTTTATTTCATATTGTCTACATGTTTTTTTTTTTATTAAATTCATATTATTTTGCATTATTTTATATACACAGGCTTTCATGATTGCCAAAACTTAAAAAAATCCAAAATAAAAACAGTTAAAACCCAAACAAGGATTTTATATACATGTAGATTGTTCTACCACTAAAGGATCTTGAATATTTCTCGGCTGAATAATGAGGAATCAGTCTACAGCTCTCTTCTCACTGAATATCAGACTTTGTTTCAATTGCTTTATTTGCAAAAGTATAATGTGTGGGAACGAAATTTTCTACAAATGGTAACTAGTAGTTCCCAACTCACAATGTACCCTAACAATGCAAGGCGATAAGGTCAAGAAATTTCTCTATCTGGAATAGATAAATCAAAGTATGCTCGGTACAGCTAGCCTTTTTTCTTTAGGCAGGGTACGTGGGATTCCTTTCTACTCAGAGAACTGCAGGGCAGGTCAGATAACATTCATTTGAAGTTTCAAAATCCAAAGCCCACACACAAATACCGTATTTGCTCTATTAGAAGCACATCTCCTATAGAAGGCATATAAACCCAAAATTGCATTGATTGTATGATGGATACATCATTCAAATATTACTTTTTTATCATAGTCACATCACTGTAATTTTTATAAGTACCAACACAGTATGAAGTACTGTAAAATGACTAGTTTTCACTGGGTTTAAATATTGCTGATTTACCATTTCAGGACATATTCAGTGGGTTTTAAATTCATGGTTTTATCATTTCAGATAATGTGTTCTAATGCTAAATTTTACATATTCACTGGGTTTTAATTTAGCGCATTTTTCAGTCGGCGAAATAAGCAAAATTACAACCCAGTGAAAAATTAATCCTTTTACAGTACTGTATTATCTCCATTACACACACATGTGCTTATGAATATTATGTTAGAATAATTGATATAAATAGTTCTGCGAGAGTTTGCAGAGTATAAAATCCTGCAAACCAGCATTTGTGTCCTACAGAGCAAACACAGCAGTGTGTCCCTTTAATCCGATATGCTGCGACGTGAAGCAAGAATACTTATTTATTGGTGCAATAATTTGTAACGTTGTGAATTGAAACTCACACTTTATGAACAAAATAAAAAAAACAAAAGAAATCTGGTACAGCAATAGTTTAGTTTAGATTTTAAGTGGTCTCTACAGCCATATTACAATCTATATTTTTCTTGAATACCTCTCTCAAGCTGATCTGACTTGATTTTTGGGATTCCATTTTGACACAGGATGTAACACTGAAATACGGTGTAGGTTCATGTTTCCGAATTTAATACATGAATATAATTACATGTCTCATGGACATATTCAAATCAGTTTTATGTTGTCTGGGCTAATTACATGTGCTACACAGCAACACTATTTACATACCGGTAATTACAGTCATGTGTTTTTATTTGTTAACAAAATGGTGGAACCGATCACATCAGCGATATGAGATGATTAAACAGAAATTTGACAAGGCCAGAATCTCAAAATGAATGAATCATATAAGATAGATATACAGATACATGTACTTTCAGGTAAAAGAGAATTACATTTATTTTCTCAGCAAATTTTTATACGTCTCACAAATGACCAATAAGATAAATAGCGACTTTTGCAACCTATTTTATGACATCGTACACAATTAACAATCTTGGCTATCAGTCACCCTCCCCTTGCCCACCCAATGAACAATGTAGTCTTAAGACTGGCAGAGTGGGTGGATATCATTGATGATAATAGTATTAAAAATTTAAATATCATAAAGATTCCAAAATGATTAGAAAGATAAGATGAGAAAGATCATATTTCCAATAAAAATCATTATTAGGAATAAGCCATTTTTTCCAGGGGGGGGGCAGTGTTTAGTGGGAGGACCATTTTACATGCACTACCAGTAACAACATAAATATATTTGGTTACATTCGAAGGCTAAAGCGCTACAGTCGCCATGCAATGTGTGTTTGAATTTTGTGCAAACAATGAGTTTTACACATATTGTATACGCCACTATGGGTCCCATATACAACAGGACGCGGAGCGATGACTGTATCAATTTGATTATGAAAAGATCATATGTCACTTGAAAATAACGCAATATGTGTAGGTAATTAGAATAATATTCATATCCAGATTAAAATATTTCCGCAGTAATGAAATATTGTTAATTTATGACTCATCAAGGATTAATAAGATGAAGGTATGCTTGTGACGGGATATGTGATGAACATCTCGCGAGAGTTGGGGAAGTCACGCAAACTGTGAGATGATCACAATATAAAACTTTGGTTGTGGGAAATTATTTCGTGAGTATAGCCACTGTATACTGTACCCGACACAGTAACGTAGTCAACAAATATGTACATTTCTAGAAATACTTAACGCAAATATGTTATTCTATAAAAGAACGGGTTAGCGTTCATCTGGGGCAATTTTTACTGGTGACCTTACTTACTTGCAAAGAGTGCGTTTTTCATTTTTCGAATACACAGACAACCTCACTCTTATCCAAAAAAACGTGCTTGGACGCAACTGCTGAAAATATGTTTAATTTAAATGTGCACGAGTATAACCGCACAAAGAGAACGATGTTGCATATCTTTATATTATATCTTTGGTATTATATATTTATGTAAAAAAAATCATCAAAAAAACAATATTTCTAAATTATCAAAATGCAATAGATTACAAAACATTTCAATTCTGCATATTACAGGTAGTGGTGTTTGGAATTTTAGTTTGTTAAAAAGATTAAATTATTTACAAAGACATGGAACATGGCATGACATGATATGATATAAAAAAAATGAAATGATAAAAATGAAAAGAAAATTAGAAAGCCCTTTTGTTTTGATACATGCATGATGTGACTATTACTGTTTTCTGACCTTGAGAAGAACTCCAACATGTGGTGAAAGCTGGCAAGCATCCAAAGCTTGCATAATAAGCTGTTGATAATACAAGCAGAAGAAAAAATATAGGGCAAAATAAATAAATAAATAAATAAATAAATAAATAAATAAATAAATAAATAAATAAATAAATAAATAAATAAATAAATAAATAAATAAATAAATAAATAAATAAATAAATAAATAAATAAATAAATAAATAAATAAATAAATAAATAAATAAATAAATAAAAAAAGAGATTAAAACATTAAATATAAAAATAAAAAGAATATGAGATGAAAGAATGAAAAAAATAATGAATAAGATTAAAGATAAAGAACAAAATGGAAAATAACTGTACCTTCTGATTTTGGTGTACTGACCCTGCAAAGAAAAAACAGAAAAGATTACTTACACAATTTAAATAAACTAAATAGGTCTATTTTTAGATTGACCTTGACCACCAAACTTTGTGTACTAACAATGACTTTTGGGTGGTTTCCAAGTTCATAGAAAACTGAAAAGCCTCCAGCACAGAAGACTAAAAGTTACAAAAGACACACATGTAGTCGTGGTAACAGCTTGCTATAAAACTGGTACATGATGTACATACAAAATTTTAATAAATAACACATTTTTCTTTCAATGATTTTAATATTACAAATTAATTAGACATTTGATGACCTACATTACTTCACATGACTATTAATTAAACAGACATATCCAACTGTTGCTATTATTATTTTTCATTGAAGCCACACCCATTATGTAAATTATGTAAATGAGCAAACATTCATCACATGACTAATTTGCTTAAATTTACTAAAATGAGATAAATTCAAAGATAATTAAAAAAACAAAAACAAAAAAACAAAAACAAAGAAAAACATCCACCAATATTTAAAATAAAATGAGAAAAACATTGGATGTGAAATTTCTATTGAATATTTGAAATTATTACAGGAAAATCAGGGAGTTCAAATGAACTAGGACTACACCCAAAGCAAGTAGAAACTTGCAATATGTAAATAATGCAGGATACAGAAACAGAATATCCACCAATCTAAAACAAAGCAGACTAGTAAAGCTGCAACTTTGTAGTCAGCCCTAATCTTACAAGATAATTAGATAATTAGGATTGAAATTACACTTTGAAAAAAAAAAAAAAAATGATGTTTACAATGGTGTTCCACAATTCCATGGTGCAATCCCTTGGTTTTACAATTCTCCTTAAAAAAACAAAATAACTCACAAGATCAGCTATTGTCATAGCAACATACGATTAGATTGCAGTCTCCTCTTTATCGGACTATAACTCACCACTATTAGAGTAAAAATGTACACTGTGTCTATATGTTTAGTACTTTGATAGCAGGAAATGGTGGAAACCAAGGCTACCCAAATATATCACTTATAAACATTATTTTAAAGTACATACAGAATTTCAAAGTCCAGAAAACCTCCATGTTTTCAAAATAGAAATACTGTAAAGGCATTAATAATGCACTAGGTTTTTAAATTCGCTATTTTCGCTGATAAGTGAAACCGCTAAATTTAATACATGTGAACATGTAAAATAGAACTCATTCTGCTAAATTTATGAATTAAAAACTGAAAAGGCTCAAACATAAAAATAGTGAAATTAAATCCAAACTAGATGCAAATAAATGCTTTTACAGTATCTAGGTAACAAATTATTTCACTCATTTAGAAAACATCCATTTTCAGGCTAATTATTAATTTTAAATAAATATAGAAAGCAAAGTTATTTTTTTGGAACCATATTATATGTAGCGATAATTACAATGTCACAGAAAATCCATTTTAGATGATTTGTGCCATTCACAATGACTCACAATAGAATGGACAGGTGGTCTTTATTAATATCCAGTATTTGTTTAGTGACAGTAAAATATGGAACTGCTCAAAAAACAGTAATTCAAAGGACACAAATATAATAACGATAATTTCACTTTATGTTCGTTGGAATTATTATTAGCAATTTATTTTCAATTTCTAAGAAGAGTTAAATTAATTAATTTCAGAATAAACAGTTTTGTGAAAATTATTTGAGCTTTGAGCCGTTTTTTTTTTTTTAACAAGCAATCAAGTTCAATCCATAAGTAGTTTTAAGCACTCAGTATAAAGAACAGCCATCTAAGTAGTAGGTCTTATTCAAAGTCACTTACACAGCATGAAATGAACAAGTCAGCTCGGTAAATAAACAAACTTTTTAAGTATCCTGCAATGTATCCTGCTCATGCTGACTGGACGTACACAAGATCGAAAATCACCGAAATAAAACATTTGAAAGCTAACGTGGATACAAGCACACTCATGAGTCATGTATGCTAATGTTATGTTTTGCCATAAGCACATGGTAGTAACCGTCAACAAACGCAAGTACTGTCGGCAAATAACCACTAACCTGAATAATTAAA